CCCCCCTCTTCCTTTCCCTCCCCCCGACCCATCCCTCCCTGATCCTGATCCCCCTCTCCCCCCTCCTCCTTCAGCACTAGCTTCTCTTGACATCTATTCTGCAAAAAATTGACATTTTGTTTAAAAAGAATTTTGTATTATGATTGTCATATATCAAAATTCTCTACAGTCAAATCAAACGAATAAAATTTCACAGAGAAAATTGTAAACTGAAAAATTAACAGTAAATGAGTAAATAGTTTCATATTTTCTTGCTTTTTGTCTATTACTTATTCGTATTTTTTACAATTTAAGAATCCGCGCTTTTAACCCGTTTGGTTTTTATTTTTAATATTTTTAATTCGTTTCAACAAATCTGGGCCCGCAAAGAGACAATAATAAAAACTTCATAAAATCATGAAGAAATTCAGTATGAAATTCTAATTGGGAAAATTTTGTTAAATACATCACTTGTTATATTCCCAACTCTGTAAGTGTAGCCTGGGATATGTCTGGAGAATCTGAATTCAAACCATGGAATGTCCGGGGGTTCCTTTCTCCAGGTATACTAGAGTACACGGTTTTCTTTCTCCAGGTTTACTCCTCTAGAACCATTTATACCTGGAGTATAATGAATATATAGAAAGCAGACTTTACAAATATATAAATCTATATATATACATAATTATGATATAGATATATATCAAATTCATGGTAGATGATTAAATGTAAAGTTGATAAAACTATAGATTTAAACATAAATTGAAAAAATAAATGAACTAAAGTGAGAGATTTGATCGTGATAAAAAAAACAATACAATCTCTACCTTGTATTTAGTTTGCTTAAACAAACTTGAATGTGTGTGTATTCATAAATAATAGGTAGTAGGTACCTTATTATAAACTCACTGCATTCTATCTTTAATGAAACGAAATAAATGAACTCAATATTACAAAGAAGTTAATAATTAAGATAGAGTTGTAATCAAAACTGATCAAAATGTATGTCATCACTCCTGTATGCCGAGTCCTTTAATAGCGCATGATTCAATCAGGGTTCAGTCATGTGTTTGTTGCATATTTTGAACCAATAGAAATAGTATCGCGGTATCATCTACATTTCTATCTATCTCATTATCCAATCAGAGTTATGAATTCTTCAATCGGCGCTATCAGTAAATGGAAATATTTACTTCTACTGAAACTATAATGGTCAGTTACTAGTTTACCAGAGCTGAAAACTTTAGAATGGGATATCCTTAATTCTGATCGCTTAATCTGAGTATCCAATGTACACACTTTTGATTTTTCTTCTTAATCCTCTTTTTTTTGATATTTCTACTGTATAAAAATTCCGTTTGATAACAATTACAGATACAATGCTTTATCAATTGGACATCCGATTGAACTAAAGTCAGCTGTTCACAAGTCGGCTTTTAGAGCATTTAAACAAATATAAACTTTATCATGTTAATATGAATATTCACATTTGAGGACTATAGCCAGTATGAACGTTAGTGTTAATAAACATTAATCCTAAACTTACGTTTGTTAAATCGATCATTAGATCAATTGATATGACACCATCAACACCATAATTACGCAAAATTAAAAAAACCATTCTAAAGTTTTCAGCTCAGGTTTTTAGAACGGAAATGATATCTAATATGTACCTTAGCTCTGCTACAAACTCTTCCTCGTAATGAAGTAATTTTAGTTTATCAAGCAAATCCTAAATTTGTTTTTGTTATCACGTTAGTCTTTAACTTAAAGGAACTGTGAACTTAATTTTGAGAAAATATCTATTCTTTTCGCAACGATGCCCTTTAATCTTTTTTTCTCGTCAAGGATGAACAAGATATTCTTATTCTTCTATTTAAAAAGTAATATTTTCAATTATGGTTTTAAATATGAATTGCAGATTCAGTGTGCAGAGACAATCCAGGATATCTTTAGAATTCAACCTGTTTTAAGAAAAATGACGATATCGTCCTCGTTGCTACTCAGATAAATGTTTAAAGGACACCGCTTTTAAAAGTACACCTCTGAACAACTTTAAACCTAAGTCAAGGTTTCTTTATCATATCATATCATTTCAGAATGACCACTAGATAGAGTTTTTAAAGTCTAAATCTTTACAAAATCAAGGCTTATGACTAAAAGCAAGGGGAGGCCATTTTGTAAGTAAGTAGAATGTGCAGGGTTACTCACAAAAGATGAGACTTCAGAGACAACGTTGAAAAATCGTCATTAAGCCATTAAAAAATAATGCAAGGTAGAAGACTTTAGGATCGTTATAATATATGAGATTAAAGTGTCTTCACAGTCTAGTATTAACCTTTGTGGGTTTCCCTGTAGGATCCAATATTTCAAGGCTTCAAAAGTTCTAAATTTTGAAACATAGTAAATAGTTACGAAGAGATATTCCTTGTTTTTGTTTATTTTGAATTTGTTACTTTTATTTAAAAATCTTCACTGAGGGGATCCAAGGGTACCCGGCAAAAAAAAGTCGGACGCTTTAGCAAAAATTTAAAAGTTCAGGTCAACGGCGTTAGTAACTGTGACTTCGAATAATAATAACCTACAAAACGGCAGACACTATATAATATATATAGTAGACGACCGACCTATTTTATTAAAAACGTCTAAAATATAGGATTTTTCAACACGCTAATCTGACTCAATCAAGGTTTTGGGGGGTAATGCTGGATCGCCCCTAAATCTTTTCTATATGGCTGTTAGAATCTATTTATCTATTTAGATTATCCCGAACCCCTGTGCTTTCTTGTGCTTTTGCTATAAAATATATGTGTTTCTACCGAAATACTCGCTGTAACAAATACGACATCTAAATATATTGAATAGAAAAAGTAAAAACTTAAAAAAATAAAATAAAGGAAATATACTTTATTGAGATCAATGGGTGTCAGCCGAACACTTTTCAATTATGTTACTTGTCTAATGTGTCTCATCTGTCCAAAATGTCTAATTTGTCCAACATGTCGAAGATGTCTATATATATCCTACATATTCATTGTTATCCTTCTTTCACAATAGACATTGAACATTCTGCTACATTTGATTTGATTTGTTTCTCTGAGAATATAGAATAGAATAGAATGGACTCTGTACTGTTATTGACAACTAATGTCAATCTAAAGTAAATTTTACGTAAGCTTGAAATCTTACATGGTTTTAATCATTATTCTACATATAAAAGAGCTATTTAGAAAAAAAGGTTTTACATTTCTTATAAGTGACCGGATAAAGGAATTTCTTATAAGTGACCGGATAAAGGAATTGAATTTAATCATTATTCTACATATAAAAGAGCTCTTAAGAAAAAAAAGGTTTTAAATTTCTTATAAGTGACCGGATAAAGGAATTGAATTTAATCATTATTCTACATATAAAAGAGCTATTTAGAAAAAAAGGTTTTAAATTTCTTATAAGTGACCGGATAAAGGAATTAAATTTTTGCCAGACACTGTGATCTTCTAATCCCTATTTCTTTGCAACATGATGATGAAAACTGTTGATGTTTCAAAACTAGACTTTTTTATCTAACATAATTTACATTTTGAAATATCAAAGGTCTACGTCATTGGGAAGCCAAGGTATAAGGATTAGAAAATCACAGTTTGTGACAAAAACTCAATTCCTTTGCATGCTTTTGCGTAAAATCAAAACTAAAGGAGGTACACGACTCTACGAGATCACAAAGTCGCATGAGCTGAAATTTTTGTCATCAGCAATAAACAATTTTTCAGACAAAAATAATCTAAAATCATCATTATAGTAATTTTACATTATTCTTGTATATTGCTCTATAGCTGCCTACAAGTTGGTATTATATTTCAGATGAAACAGAGTTTCATTTTGTCCGTTCTATTACTTATTCTACAATCTTAGAATATTATACTTTAACTTTCCTCATTGTTTTGTAAACGTATTCGAGTATTTGTTTACTTCTTTTTACCAACATTAGAAACCTTTTAAAATGTCTTAGGTAAAAATAAGAAACATGTGTTTATTGGAGAATTTTCTTCCATATCGAAATTGGACTGTGGCAAATCTATTTCCGTTTGAAGTTGTCTTTTAAAATAGTAAATTGAATTGTATTCTTGTACAAGACATTTATTCTCCATCTAGTGGCATTGTATTGAACCCATTATAATATAGGGCAGTTGGCGCAGATCCCTAAGTTTAAATGTTTCTTAAATTTTGTTTTTCGTCAAATGTTGATAGTTTCTGTGGGGGAAAACCCAACATTCTTCCAACTTTTGTAAATCATTGTCAATGGAAATATTTAGGGTTTCTCGATCTTGTTGGCTGGGTTATTTACTACTTAATTTACGTTATTATAAAGATGGTTCTCAAAACCTGTGTCTCTAAATTAATGTTATTAAAGGGATTTTGCACGTAACTTTTAATGAACCCCTAGTTTAAGAGTTGCATGCTATAGATTCACAATGGTGCCCTGAAACCCTTCGTCCAAACAAACCTGATCAAGATATCCATGTTTTTCTTTCGGAAATCCTAAAACATTTGAATTTCGGTTTCTCTTTTACTTGATAATTTTAAAGCATGACAAAGAAGAAGTTTACATTATACATATTTCTTCACTTTTCAAGGAAAAAAACGACATTTTCTGAATTTAAGTGTACCATAGTGAATCGGGCAAGGAGGGTTATTTAAAATCACATCTACACTCTACAGTTCCTTGAATGCGAGCAGGAATAATTAGAGAAGAAAAGATGTAATGAAAACATATACCAGACAACCAACAGGAAATGAATGCATCTAGAGATATAATTAGTAAAATAGGAGAAGTAATTAACTTTTTACTTGTAAGGTCCCCTCTGGCAATGTAGAAACCATGGGGGGGGGAGGCACCACTAGTCACCACCCCCCCCCCCCCTTCTTAAGTTTATTTCATCAAATTTAATTCTGACTATTTTCTTCATTGCTTTTAAAGCAGCAATCCGCATTTGAAATTGCAAATTTTCTGAATGAAGATCAGGGATATCTCATTAAATATTTATATCTATCAAGGTTTTAGGTTTACTGTTGTGTATCGGACACCCCACTCTAAAACTTGAGAGTCACTTTAAAAAACGTCTCCAGCTCTTTTTAATTACCCCCCCCCCTGGCCATTATCTAGTACGAGCAATTTTAAAATCTTTTCGAATTCGAATGAGAAACTTAATTTAAATTAATTTTATTGCCTCAGATATTCAAAATATTCTGAAACAAAGTTGAAATTTTTTACTGGGTTTAGTTTGTCTGTTCTTATTTATATCTGTGCCCAAAACTTAAGAAAGTATCGTTGAACGAAACTCCCGGGTTTTTTTTTGGGGGGGGGGGGTTAAATATCTGTGTAGATTTTGACTTTAAAAAATAGAAAAATATTAAGAATGTAAAGAAACTAACTAAATAAAGTAATATTTTGCAGCAAAAATATTGGTATTTACAAAACAGCAATTTATATAATCGGGTTTCCGAAACTGGGTTTCATGACGATACCCTTTTTCAAGTTACGGTCTCCGGACCAGGGTTATCCTCATGTTATCCTACTCTAGGTATACACAAACATGCACACAGTACACTAATACAAACCAAACAAACCTGGCTTTAAACCATTATCTTTTTGTTTGTAAAAACAGTAAACAAAGGAGCAGGAAATTTAATAGAAAAACGAAAACACATTCGGGAAACTTTAATGGCGAAACCAGGTTTCTTAGATGCAGGTAGAGATGCAGAGATGCAGAGATTGCTAAAAAAGATTATACATCAATTTTTTTAAAACGGGAAGACTAAGTTACTAATTAGCTTTCACATATTTATCCATTTTATACCCCGACTTATTGTTGCAGAATACACATTGCTCTCACTTACATAAACATTCTTTTTTAAGTTTCTAAATTGTAAAATTTAAATTAAAAATACGCGAGAAATTAACCGTTAATGGCGCCATTGTTGCTCCTTCAAGGGAGTAGGGTGAGGAGGCGGGGGGAGTCAGCAGTTTTGAACTGAAGATTCTCTTCATTCTTACTAATTTCAACTTGAAGACCTTAATTCTCAGTCTGAGGTTGTTTGACATTTGAATTGATAGATACTAAGTAGTAAATGTGGTTCTAATAACATCAAGAGTTTTAAAACTATTTGTCACCCCACATTGTTTTTACACTTTTTTACTCATTTTTAGGCCTTTTTTCTGTTTTAAAATATATAAAATAAGAGTTTAAAAATATATTAGTTTCTATCTTAAAAAAAACTTTATTCAATAAATTATGGTTAATCATCAATAAAACTAAATCGAATGTTTTTGAATTATAGAGAACGTTATTAGTTGGTGAATATACGGAGTTCTATTAAGTAGAGAACGTAATTAGTTGGTGAATATACGGAGTTCTATTAAGTAGAGAACGTGACTAGTTGGTGAATATACGGAGTTCTATTAAGTAGAGAACGTGATTAGTTGAATTGGACCCCACTGAGTAAGAGCCCAATTATCCTCTCGTCAAGAAAAAGAAAAAGAAGGCTTTTTTACATTTTCTTCTGAGATTTGAGATGTCTGTTAAATCTACATTTTTTATGGAGAGAAAGAAATCGACTTATATTATATAATACATTTTAAACTTAATATTTTAAACTTTGACTTTTGGATCTAACAGAATTTATATCAAAGGCCTGCGACATCGGGTTGCACTATATAAGTATCTAGGCTTTTAGGGCGCTTTGCGTCCATTTTCTTTTTCAACTTTTAATTGTGGCTTTATATGTAGGCATCTTCACTTTGCACAGCATAATTTTTTTTTGCGAATTTCATAATATTTTTTCACGCATTTTCAAAATTTTACAAAATTAAATAATTTAAGATAAAAATATTTTTAGATTACATAATAAAGTCTGATTGGCCTTATGTCTTCCCTGGGGCCACGTAAGGTCCCACACAAAATTTGGACCTGTTCGGTTCAGCCGTTTTGACGTTTATTGGACACAAACAAACAGAAAAACAAAACAGACAGACAGACAAGCTAAATTTATATATTGAACATCGGAATATTTGGGATTTTTTTATACAAATGTTCAGACCTTGACTTAAAAGTTTATATTATAAAACAGAAAATAAAAAAAATAAAAAATTTTCTTTCATATCATTAAAAATTATTTGGAGCATCACTTTTTTGTAGAAAAAAATCACTATTAGAGCAAGCGAAAATATTTTCTACTAAAAATGTGATAATGGGTAAAAGCAGACCCGTGTTAAAACACCATGAATTCAAAAACGTTAAAATCAAAAGAATCTATAAATAATTGAACTAATTATTTTCGAAAAACGGACCTTTCCGTCTCCAAAAAACCTAGTTTTTTGGCCCTACATCAAACAATTTTCAAAATCTAAAAAAACTAAATAAACAATTTTTGCTACGTGTTGGTATTTTTGGAAAAGAAATTTATATAGTCCCAGGGTTAATATAAGGAAAAACAAATAATAATACAAAGATTAAAAAAATCAGAATTTTGTGTTAAAAACTCAGTTTCCCTTAAAGGAAGCGCTGTGAAAATCTTAATTGAGATTTGCGCCGGATTAAAATGTGAATATTTTAGCTCAAAGTGTATTGACATGCAACTACGTGGAGTGCATCTGAAATTCCACACCCCGCTTTCTCTTGTTATTTAATGCATCATGTTAAATCTCAACACCCTTACCCTAACCCTTGCAAAACACTGAATTCCATGTAAGAGAATGCAGGGAAAATCGCCTGGCAAAATGTCAGAAGAGAAATATAGGTCGCCATTTCTAAGAGTCATATTTTACAAAGATACGCATTGTGTTAAAACTTCTTTTGCTGAATATAGAATTCATAGATGTTATAGTATACATATTTACAATACCTCGCAAAATTATAAGTTATCCGTAATTTTACTTTTAATAAATAAATGTTTTCATTTTTTGTGATTTACACTTTTTATTTCTGTATGATTGTATCCCAGTTAATTTTCTGTATTTTATATTACGATGTTCCTGCGTTAATCGGGTTTATAAACCTTAACAGAAAATTGTCAATGCTTTAGTAACAAAACATTTTAAAACCCATTTCTAAAAACTAGCTTTTAGAAAAAACAGTTTTATCAAAAAAGTGTTAAAGAAGATGATATTTGTACTTTTTTATTGTTGAGCTATAGGCTAATCCAGACCAAAAAAGAAAGAAATTATTTTTAAAAAATTCTTTAAATAGTTACCAAGGAAAAGTTAAAGAATGTCCAAGTTTGTTGCCTTCATGCAGACGTTCATGCAAGAAATAAATTTGACAAACCAAAATTAACCTTTGAGATATATTGGATATTGCGATTTATATAGGATCTAAACTAATTACAAATTTTCAGAATAAAATACGTTCATGATTATATAAAGTTTGGGGGATGTTATTTAGTAGAAAGCAGGAGATTTCTCTCCCTCTCTCTCTCCTACTCTCTCCCTCTCTCTCTTCCTCTATCCTCTCTCTCCGGTTTTCTTCTCTCAGTACTCGGATAGCTATCGGAGCAAGAGGATACATTCATCCTACTCCGGAATTCACACATCTCAGTACCTGGAGAGAATTAAACCTAAACTTGTCAGTCCTCCACAGCATAGAACTAATTCATAGCTATGAAAGACAAAAGTGTGTTTCGTGAATTTTCCGCTAAAAACTAAAAAATCAAGTTGAAATTAGCGCGCAAAAATGGATGACTCGTATGCTTATGACATCGAAGAGGTAAACGTTTACTAAATTTTTTCAGTTTTTATTCTTCTAACCGAGCAGAAAGCTTTGAATGAGGTCTGTATTATGTCTACATTATAAAAAGGAAAATATAACAATAGAGGCCTAAGTGCAATTTGACCTTATGGGAACACACTATTTACTGAAAATATAACATGTGTATCAAAATATAATCTTCTGCGAGACTATCTGCCTTGTAAATTTATCTCTAGAAAATTCCTTGATTTTAATAAATAATCCTTGAGAATGAAAAGTTTTTGATTTGATTATTTTCTTCTCATGAATATTTTTTAACATTAGATATCCAGCAGTCTTTATATTTTACCTGTAAACAATATGAATTTTTGAAACATCATATCATTTATTATTTGTTTTCCTTTATACTGTTTAATTTCACAGAATAGGCATCCTTAATTTGGTAGACAAATAAGATTATATAAAGCTAATCATAGTCTAGTATTTCTTACTACACACGATAAATGGACTAATGTTCTATTAGAAATAAATCACAAGACTACGTAATAGTAGGACTAGGGAATAGGAGTAGGACTAGGGAATAGGAGTAGAACTTTAGAATAAGACTAGGACAATGGAATAGGAGTAGGACTTTAGAATAAGACTAGGACTATGGAATAAGACTTGGATTGGGGATTAAGACTATGTAAAAGGACTGGGAATGTGTAATAGGACTAGACATATGGAATAGGACTAGAATTACGGAATAAGACTAGGATTATGGAATAAGACTAGGATTATGGAATAAGACTAGGATTATGGAACAAGACAAGGACTAGGACTATGAAAGAAGACTAGGACTATCGAATAAGACATAAGACTACGTAATAGTCTTGTGTTGCTGCATTAGAAATGTGTAGATCACATTTGTAAAGAAATCACAATTGAAAATACTCAGTTTTCAAAATTAAAAACATGGATACCTCATTCAGGATACCGTTGTGAAAAAGACTTATACCATTCTAGAAATGGATGGTCAAAACGGCTGAACAGGCCAACAGGCCAAAATTTTGTGCGGGACCTCACATCTCTTACATTACCCCAGGGAAGGTTTATGGCTGGTCAAAATTTCAAAAATTAGCCTCCAACAAAATTCAATTGTCATTAAATTTTGCAAATCCACAAAATTTTTTGTTTTACAATGTACACCATCACAAAGAGAAAATGTTCACAATTGAAATAGCAGATGGGCGCGAAGCCTTTAGTTTAAAATCTGTATACGTTTGTTTGTATCCAATTTAAACGTACTAAAACGTCTGAACCAATCGTTTTGTGAAACCTCAATCAACCGAGGGTAGGTTTATGGATTCTAAGAATACAAAAATATGTCATAAAAATTTTCAATTTTTTGGAAAATTTTGAATAAATATTATTTTCTTACATTGTTTTATTTTGTTCAAAGAGCATATGCTCGGAGAAAGGCTCTACAACAAAAGGTTGAAATAGAAGAAGCGCGAAACGCTCTAAAAGCTTAGTTTCTAAATATTTTCCAATTTTAAAAAATGTACTCTCTAGCCGGATGTTTACCTTTATCTAAATAAAGTCTGCAGAGATTCTTTGATAAATAATAATATTTTAAAATCTAGCTTTCAAGAAAATACGCTGATGATAATCAAAAAATGCTCTTTACAATTTTTCTAAAGAAAGAAGTGAAAATGAAATTTTATCGTTGAATAAAAAGAATACAAAGAGCAGTCTAACAGAATAAGAAACTAAGATATTTTAAAGGGAGTGATCGGCTATGTAAGGTAGTTGAACTGAGTATACAGTGTCGTGGAAAGATTCATTTGAGACATAATAAACTTTTTAAAGATCTGTAAATCCTGAGTTTGAGCGCAAATTCGACGTTCTAAACTCCTACTTTGGGGGTGGATACGTTTTCAGAATTAGTTTTTTTTTAAATTATTAAATAACGACGACATAAAATGTAAAAATGTTCTACAATAAACTACAGACGTCATGTCATGTATAGGAACATGTTGAGAAAATAAAAATTAATCTTTTCATCGAAAATAAGTAATCTTGGTTAATTATTAGTTTCTATTATCTCATTATTCTGATTTCTCATTATTCACAAAGTTTTCGCAGATTTTCTAGAATTATTATTGAAAAGACGACATTTGAAGAATTTGAAGAAATTTGCGAATCAATTCAAAGAAAATAAGAAATTCAATATAAAAATGATAACGAAATAATCGATTTTAGCATTGATTTATTGACAAATTTCTTTTCAGAAATCTGTTCCCAAACCATCAAAATAGATTTCTGTATAATTTTTACTTTATTTTTCGTTGTCGTTTAATATGTCTCAAATGAATCCAAAAGAAGTGTTCCACAACAGTACATACTAAGTTCGACTACCTTACATAGCCGGTCACCCCCTTTAAGGATAACATTGGATCCTATAATTTTCTTTATTCTTTTTTTTTGGGATCTAAACAATTCTTTAAAATATACCATTATGAGAAACTTTTAAGGTTTCGTGAAATTTCTAATGTTTAGTCTTCTTTTGAAGCGGTTTTCTAAAGAAAACCAATTTGAATAAAAAGAAATTATCGGGTTTAAAGTATAAAACCAGAAATTATAGATTGATTTTGGCAGAAATAAAAAAATTAGCTCGAGGGGGGGGGGAGTTGGTTTTTAGTTTAAAACTTATTGATTTTGTTTACATTATAAAGTTTAATATTTACTTAGAAAAAAATATGTTGTTCAGAGAAAAGTAATCTTATTATGATCTAGGGCTTAACTGATTCATATCTTACTTTTGCAAGTTATTTTCGTTTATATATATCAGTTCATACTTTGCTTGTCTATTTGTCTGTTCAATTGTAATCGATAAACGTCAAAACGGCTGAACCGATCGGACCCATTAGTTTTGTTGAGCCTCACATCATACAAGAGAAAGTTTATGGGTGGTTTGAGATAAACAAAAAACAGCATTTAAAAAAAATAAAATTTTTTAAATCCAAGAAAAATAATTGATGAAAGAGAAACAATTAAAAGGTTAAATCGAACAGGAAGCCTAGTCATTAAGATTTATTCAGAACACTTTTCATGAATGAAGTGAGTTCCTTTAAGCTTTAAACAGAGAGTTGATACAAATTTCAGAATTGAATCTAAGCTTGCCGATTTAAGGGATTTTAGAAAAGTTAGACTTGCATAAACAATGGGAAACTTGTAGAAGTAAAGGTTTTTAGGACATTACTGGTAGGACTTTGTGGCCTCTTAATAAATCTAGGTTTGATTTTACGAATAAGTATAAGAAATCTCAATTATTTTTGGTTACAGATTTAGAACTTAAAACATTTTTGTTCCTCTCAATATTTCTTTAATTAAAGAAATTATGATCTCCATCTGAAGTTTAATTTGCGTTAGTTTGAGGTGCAAATAACAAAAAAGTCGTAGCGTCGTGAAATACATCCGTCGTACATACCACAAGGGATGTATTTCACTATATTCTCTTTGAACAACTTGCTAATTTAATTTGCTTATTTTTACTCTGATCTTAGCCGCCGAGTTGATTGATTATAGTTTGTAAAAGGCAGAGAAAACATATAAGAAATATATTTTAGAAGTGTTTTCTTATTAATGAGTTAATATCTATACAATACTCAAGGGATTAGATTAATGCAAAAACCTGCCGCTACGCGTCCAAAAAAAATATTTAAGAAGATTAAATGAGCTTGAAAGAGAATTTGAAACTCTAATTTCAATTTGAAACTATTAAACTTCTTCTTCTTATTCATCCCAGTGTTTTAAGTTTTTTCACAAGAGCTTGCAGTAGTTTAGGTTTTATGCAAATTATTGTAGTTCGGTATTACAAGAACTTTTTGTTGTTTTGTAATATAAGCACTTATTGTAGTTTTGCATATTCTACGCACTTATTGTAATTTTGTATCGTAAGCATTTATCATAATTTTATATTACAAACACTTAATACAGTTTTGTATTATTGTATTATACTAAGTTTGTATATTGTAATATACTAGGTTTGTATTACAAGCACTTCTTTGTATTATAAGCACTTCTTGAAGTTTTGCCTGTTGGGCACTAAACGTACTTTTGTATTCCGCCTGCACGTATCCGCCTTCACGTATCCACCTGCATCTATCCGCCTTCACGTATCCGCCTGCACGTATCCGCCCAGGTATCCACCTGCAATTATCCACCTGCACGTATCCGCCCAAGTATCCTCCTGTATGTATCCCCCTGCACGTATCCGCCTGCACGTATCCCCCTGCACGTATCCGCCTGCACGTATCGCAGCACTTTTTTGATAGTGAGCACTTACTGTAGCTTTTCGAATTGCGCGCATTTATCGTAGCTTTATGTAAAGAGCTTATCACTACCGTTTACTTCGAGCATTTTTGAGCATTATTTTGAATAATTTTCATAATTTTTTATTGCTTAGTTTTTTTGCTTGAAAAATATTGGTGTTTGTACAGTGTAAACATTAAGATAATTGTCTCCACTTTCTGTACTTTTGTTTCAATAGATTTGTTTTGTGTCTTTAGATCATTTTGAGTGGTTTCTTCATTGAACATGAGTAATTGTCCAGATTGCTTGTTAAGATTAATAAATTGATTATTTCGTAAACATGCAGCAATAAGCTGCATTGTTTCTAATAAGTGTATAATGTATATTATAGTATCATGCTGCTAATAAATGATTTTTTTTAATATGCTAATGAATAATGACTTTGTAAGAACTTCGAAAATTTTATTTTACCCCGGGTTCCCAAGACATGTTTCAGTGAATATGAAAAATTCCTTATAGAAAATATCAGGTTTTTCGAGTATTACCTGCATATTTTGTCGTTAAAGCTAGATAATCCATACTGGAGGGACATCTTTTAGAAAAGTCGTTTTTATAATAATAGCTTCGCAAGCGAGGCCAATTTTGTATTATAAAAGTTCCATCTAGAGGCACTTTATTCACGTGGAAAATAAAAATCCGTTCATTAATAAAAAATATGTTCA